AACTACTAGTTTTTTATTTATTTAATTTGGAAGATGAAAAGTTTTAACGTTTTTTTATTGTGTTATAAACCTCCAAAATTTCCGGATGATTTTAAAACCATTTTTGTTCTTAAAAATTTTGTTCCATCCCACGAAAATATATTATAAAATTAATTGTTTAATGAGCATAGACACTTTTAGCACAGAATAATAATAATTCAGAAGTGAGTTTGAATAGTACTTGGAATTAGGACAAAACTAGCCCAACTTTGTCTATCTTCTTCACATTTCTAGTTCTTCTCTATTTTTNGAGGTGCAATAACACTTCCCATTCGAATACAAAAGCCTTGGTATTTATTTGATTATCTCTATAAGTTTACAACAATAGCTCAAGATGAATTGTCTCAAAAGACTAAGCTTCATGATTATACGAGAAAGGTAAACATGTTATTTTTGTATTAATAGAGCAAACCCTTTTCATCGCCAGTAAAGCTTCTTTTAATTTTTATATATTTTTTTAAGAGTTTAGACTGATAACCTAAAAAAGGCTTTACTGCTGCAGTGTAACTAACAGAATGTTAACTATTATTATTTTTAGATGATTGAATTAAATAAATCCATCAAAAATGATAGTAACCACAGTTTGTTGCGAATTTTTCTCGACATATCTGAAAATAATCCACAGTTTACAGAGGATGACGTTGTTAACGAGATTTGCACATTTATGTTAGCAGTACGTATTATAACGAAATTAATGCCATATGGCTTCTTGGTAGTAAATTCAATCAATATATGCATATTATTTAGTTTTGTAACACAATAATATACACGAGTAAATCTATTTTTAAGGGTTAAAATAATTTCTAATTTCTGTTCTAATAGTTTTTTTTCTTTGATAGGGCCAAGATTCGGTTGCAGCAGCTGTAGCTTTTTCGCTTCATTGTTTGGCTTATAACCAAGAAGCTCAAGCAAAAGTATGTCAAGAACTTGATGAAATTTTCAATGGAAGTGATCGATGTGCAGATGCAAGCGATTTAAGGAAAATGAGATATTTGGAACAATGCATTAAAGAAACTTTAAGATTATATCCAAGTGTTCCAATTATTGCAAGAAAACTATCTGAAGATGTTACGATAGGTAAAAAATAGTTATTTAAAATAATAAAAAAAGCTTTATTTATTTATCAAGATAAAGTTTGTATCTATTGGAGTAATAGGAAGAACTTGAACTTATTAGACGATATCTGCCGTTTTTTTAGTATTTTCTACGAAAAGCTTCCTTTTTACAACAGTTTTGATGAAAATCTAAAATAGGTACAGAATATGGTTCAATAAAAAAACTTTTACAGTAAGCAAATTATATTCTCAAACTATGTCACCACAAAAGTGAGTTTCACAAATCTTGGCGTTGTAAAATAAGTAAAAATAATGTTCTTTATGATTGTTTCAAACCATTCCCAACTACTTTTCCAGAACAATCTTTATACAAATAAGTTTAAATCTAAAAAATAAATAATTAAATTCGAAAGACAACAATAATTCTAACCTAATTTTCTGCAAATTACATAAGTATAGAAATTATTTCACGTGTACATGTTAAGGATATTTTAGCTGTTGTAAATGTCCTTAAAATATAATAGCACGTTTTTTCAGAAACACTTCGCAATATAAATTTGGTTCACAAAGATAATTCTGGAATTTATCTGTCTTATCTGTTTTCTTCCCCTCTGCAAATTCTTTATGACCATTTTTGTTTGAATTATTTGATTGCAATGTTGTTGTGACATTATCTTCTTCATATGGTAGGCGACAGAAATTTATCTGGATTGTGCAAGAATGTCCTCCTGTATTCTTACATTTTCATCCCCTGCTCGCTCTAATGCTCGCATCCATCTTTATCCTGCATGTAACATAGATTTATCGTCCATCCAATAACTACTTGCTCTCTCCTCATTAGCACACTTGAATTTCGCCACAAACCTCTTCACTTCTCTTTCGTATTTTGTCGCAAGGTATCTCATAATATCATCCGAAATAATATCTCTATATACAGCATTTTATTTTTTTTACTATTCATTATCTGTACTCTTCTTTATTGTTTTTGCTAATCTTTTTCTGTCTTTTTGTTGTCTACACATCATCGTTCCTTCCATTCTTCTGATGTTCATGATTTCACGATATCCCTCAAATATTGCTACCTTCTTCGCGTACAATATTCTGATGTATCTCTTTTTTTTCAGAAAATCTCTCCTAAATACCCTTTGTCCCCAACTCCAAACTTGCTCCACCAATCTACACGGCTTTTTTTAATGGTCTCATTACCTTTCCTCTGTCGTTTCATTTACAGAACTACATTACTTTCGTTTTATTCACACAAACACTCTAAACATATTATTATCTCCCATTCAAATATACCTTTCTCGTCCCATCAACCATGTTCCCCGTCTATCTTCTTGAATGAAAATCCTGTTCAATACCTTCGTCATCCAAAACACATGGCTCTTCCCAAAATTTAATTATTGCCAGGGTATTGCATATACAGTTCTTATTTAAGGTGACTACACACGTAACTGCAAACTTGACAAGCATGCATGATCAGTCTTTTTGTACAAGCATGTAAAATTTTCCTTTGACACCACACGATACAAGTATGCTTGAACAAGCGCCAGTTTGCGCTTGAATTATGTCGAGCTCGGACGACGATGCGCTCGCACTGGCTGCTTTTTGCCTTGTCCATAAGAGGAAAACGCCGAAGAAGAAACGTGATATATGGTGTAAAGAGTGGTTACTGAAAAGAAAAATCTACTCCTATATTAATTTAGTGAGTGAATTCAAGATATATCCACACGTAGGGAGAAATCCCTACGTCTGGCCTCACGTCAAGCACTGTGCTTGGTACACATGTGCGGTTTCGCTTGCAGAAGCTTGCACGATTAAAATTCAATCCATCATCAAGCGGATTGCACAAGCAGAATGTATGTGCAAAATGATCCTACAAACGCTAAAGCATACTTGTACAAAAAAATTATGCATACTTTTCAAGTTTACAGTTACGTGTGTAGCTACTTTTACTCTATCAACTTCCACACAATTCTTCTTCTTCTCATTTTCCTCTGCAATCTCAAACACGACATCCAAATCAATTGAATTGAAAGCTGTTGAATTGAAAAAGGTTCACCCACTTCTCCATTGCTATTTACTCTCCTCTTTTCCAGTTCGTAATTGCCTTCTTGCTTTCTTGTCTTTATCTCAACTTCCTACTTTTTCTTCCTCCTTTTGTTGTACCCAGAGCAATAATTAATTTATCTGTTCCTTATTATTCTGTGCATTATTTGTCAACATCGCCTCTGTGCCTGCTCCCCTTCCACCGTCCTATAATAGCTCCTCTTCCTCTTATTTCATCAAACCTTGTGGTAAAGTCTCTCTCTTTCAATTATTTGATACCTCTATCTCTTTCTTGACACTTCTAATAATTCTGCGTTAGACTTATCCTGTTTTGTATTGACTTTTCTGGTACCTTTTTTAATTCTATCATTCCT